GATAAGTTTAGACCATGGTTGTAGCAGGTTGTTGATTTAACTCTCTTTTAATTTTAGCCTTCAATCGTTCCATGAATTGAAATGCTGCTTGTCTATCATCTTCAACTAGTTGACTTTGTATTTTCAGTTTTTTGAATATTCATGTTTGCTTGATTGTTGGCATACTGCTGTCTGTCAAGGTATAAGCCTGATCATGGATGTTGTCAAATAGACAAACATTTTCTTTTTCGGGAGGGAAACTTTCATCTCATCCCATGTTTCAATCGCAGGTTGTCTTGTTTTTGTTAATTTCTCATCAATGCAATATGACCTTTTTTTTCTAAGTCCCAACTAATTTTATTTTGGCAAATTTGACCTGTACATGCATTTGATATATCATACTAATTAAAATATTCTTCCTCGAATTCAGCCAACAAGGAAGAAATTGGGGTCTCTAGAGTTCCTACTTTGATTTTCTTGGTATTCTCTTCCTTGATTTTCTTAAATTTCTTACTGGCTAGTTTTGGACAACTTGGACAATTTCTCCACATTTTGCAATGTGAAAATTTTGATGCTCTTCTTCAAGTGTATTAACAACTTTTTCAATAGTGCCCGTATAATTTTTGAGTGCATTTGCTTTCGCATCAAAAACATGTACTCAATTATTTGACTCAGTTACTATTTTTTAGTAGCTAAAGAATACTAATACTATCAAAGCAGGAAAAATGAATATTTATGAAGAATAAAATCCTAAATTACTAAATTATAATGATAATAAAGTCCTGAGTAACAGAATATTTTATATTTAAGGTAAGTTTATAATCTTTAATTTGTTTAGGAAATCTAAACTTAATCCATTCTGTATCGTATAAAGCTTATTTTGAACGAAAAAGTATTTTGATTAGATCATTCAAATTTGATCAATGAAGTTAAGTGGGTAGTTCTTTGTGAATGTTCTATAATTTAGTTTTGCATAATGATTATTCATTTTGCTCGGTTGGTTGTTGATTTTCGTATTTATTTAATAATGTTTTTATGTATAAATGGGGCAGGAGACATAAATTATGGTGTAAACTTCATGGTGTCAGAATTTGTGCTTTTTGTTTGATAGTTGTCCTCTTCTAGGGACCTATTGTACCTTTTGTTTGATTCTTTTTTTTTTTGTGATTTTGGTTGTACCTAGGTTGCCCTTGTTTGGTGCCTTCTAGATACTTCTCTTTTCCTTTTAAAAAGATTATACTATTAAGAATAAATGCATACCAAAGCACATTAACAAATGCAAAAAGTCAGGATGGAGGCGACTTTTTTTTTTTCTATCCAAAAAATTACTTATTTAGATATTTTGTTATTTAAAATGCATGATAACAGTAACTAATTTACCTTAATCCCCTATTTGAATGCTTGAGGATGATGTCTCAGTTTTTTACTGACATGTAATTGGTTATAGAATCAGAAGTTATATTTGATTAATGAGTTAATGTGGTTCGTAATTTACAAGTTCAAAAGATATATAATATTTCCACTATATGTTTTTTTTCTGATGAAATATAACATTATGATATTTTTGATTGGATGATTGTATCGTTGGGCCATTGACTGTTTGAAATTAATTATCATCCTCAAGTTAACACCATAAATTTGTTAATCTTGAGTTCATCACTTTGTAAATATGACCCATATTGAACATGGTAGATTTTGAGTCACTTTCTTTTGTTATTAGTTCTTTTTTTTTTTTATGTTTTCTTTATTTCTAGGTCATGATTATCTTTTTAGATATAACCTTACTTACCATTTGTTTATAGGTTTTGGTGTGAACACCCACTCTTGTCTATAATTGGTCTCTTGGCCACGATCCTACCATAGTAATCTTCCACAACATCCGAGAAGTAATTCTCATTTATTGTGATTATGCCTCAACATATTAAAGGTGAGGCTGCTAGTCTGGGGTTTTTAATACTAATAATAAGATGTGATACCTTATTGTTGGAGTTACAGTTATGTTCCCTCAAGCTTGCTTCGAGAGCATGTAGTTTAAGCTAAATGCAATATTTGCTTTTCTTCTAGAGGTTGTAACAAGATTTAGTGCTTGTTCGAGTTAAGCAGAAGGCTGGCAAAAAGCTTAAAAGATAATATCAGAATGTAAAAGTTAGATCTTTATAGATTCGACATGCCTGTGATATATATGCCTTCTGCTGTATAGTTCAATAATGTCTTAGTAATTTTGTTTTTCATTAATATATTAATTTGATATTTTTAAAAATAAAGAGTAATAGTAATTTAAATTAATTTAATGTTAATCATAACATTATTGAGATAATGTTAAGTTCAAAACTAAGTGATGAAAATTTTGAAGTTAATATTTACAGTAAGTAATATGAATTAAATAATTTAAACTATGGGAGTAGTTTTTGGAAAAGTTCATAATATCATATATATTATTTGTAATAGTAGTTTTCTTTTTTTTTTTAGTAGCAAGTGTTTTTACTAAATATTAGTTCCACAATGCTTTTATCCTCTCATACACAAATGCTACCTAGGCCAAAGAGACTCTTTAACAGGGAGGTTGAATTATTAAGCATATTTATGTTTTGAGCAGGCTTGAAGAAGCAGAAGTTGCTGGGAAAGTTTGACACATGCAAGGATGGGAAAAAGAATGAGAAAGCAGGAGAAAAGGTTGATTGTAGTCCTCCTCCAAGCTCGTCAGGCATGTTATGTTGAATTGTGTTATTTTGCATATTATGCTCATGCTTATGAGGTCTTTGGAAACTATTGGGCGTATTATTTGAATTTCAAGTTTCTGATTTTCATTTCTGGAGCTGTCATTTTAGTTGGATGAGAAAAATTGAATATAACTCTGATTAGATGCTTATTTAAGCTAAAGTTTTGATGGGTTATTTTATCCAGGAGAATCATCTGGGGAACAATCTAGTGATGGTGCTTCTTCAAAAATATTTATTAAGGAACCATCAATTTATGATAATTTGCTGATGACACTCCGTTCCTGCAACAAATCTCTTGCAAATGCATACAATAAGAGGTAATAATCTTATTTTGAGATAAATAAGAGGTAACAATCTTGTTTTAACCTTAATGGTCTTTCTCATTTGGAACAGTGAGAAAGCTTTCTGCTTTACCTAATCTAATTGGAAAAGCATTTAGTGAGCGTGGTGTTGTCCTAAGGTTTATTTTGCTGCCCAAAAGCTGACGACTGAGTTGACTTCTTCTGAGACATGATTCTTGTGAACACAGTTGTGGATTAGGGTTTTCTTTGGGCATATTTGCTACCTAACTGTGTATTGTTACTTTTTGGTTTCTTAAGTTTTATACTTGTGTGATTTGTTACTTAAAGGGTATAGTTTTTCTTCTTATGATTATCAGGGTCTATTTATTTTTGTCATTTTTTATTAACTCATTTTATGCATGTATAGTTATAGAATTACATAAACAAACATGTTGAACTTACAAGCATTTGCCTTTTTCTATAAGGGATATTTCCACGGGTTATCCTTGTTATTTTGTCCACATCATCCTTTTGAGAATGATCCTGCCTGTTTACTTTTACAGAAAAAGACAAGAAGAAGGTAAAAGTGACACAGAAGATGATAATGTCGATGGTTCTACATCTATCAGTGTATCAGATGAGGAGGACGACAATAGCAAAGAAGGTAAAAAAGATTCTTTAGGTATATCATAATATTTTTGCTTCACAATACGTATTTAGTGTGAATAGATCTTTGTTTCCAGCATGTATAAGTTGTTTTTAGAAATTATAAACTTTTGGAATGACCATTTCACAGATTGTGTGAAAGGATCCTAGTTTTGATTTTTATATTAAAAAAGAATCATACTAGTCTGAATTGGGGTTCATCTGTCAAGAATTGGACTGGATCGAAACACAGTAAAGTAATTCATATATGGACAAAAGACTTAATGAAAACATATTGATTTGGATTATTTCAGTCCGGCTTGGCTGGAATTAGAGTAACTTTTTTAGTGAATTTTTAATTAAAAAAGTAATAATGAAAGCAAAAAAATTAAACAAATAATAAATTTATAATCTATAATCATTCATCTAACCCATAATTACTGAAATTGCAAGCATTATATTTTTCGGTCTCCAAAGATTCGTTCTAAAGTCTGATCAAACTATGTTTGATCCAGTCCATTCAGTCCAGTCTGCTCTGTTTTTCTTAGTACTTACAATTATGAAAAGTTTCTAAGTTCTGGTCTTGTTCATTGTTATAGAAAAAGTACTTATCCTAGGAGTGATTTCTCTCAGAATGGTTAATGATAAAATTGTTAATCGAGACATTGTGATATGAGAGAGACTATAGAGACGAGGGTGACACAATGCCAAAGGGCCATCACTTAGTGATATAAAATAAAAATTGAGATCCATTCCTCTAGCTCAAACAAGTAAAAGAGATAGAGAACATAGCCTGAGATATAGCTTTCTAGGGACTTCTGCCTTTAATTCATGGCAATTAATCTCAACCATTCGTATGCTTATACTGTAACGATTTTGGATCTCCCTAAACCATAGAGAAGAAGATCCATTTGGAAAATGCAGAGCAATTTAGTCAGTAAAGACAGTTTTTTGGACCAAATTCGGAATGCCCAAACCTCCCTTTTTTGGAGGACAATAAATATTCCATCTTACCATATTATTTCTGAAGACCTTTCTTCTGCCTGACCATAGACGACTTTCTCATTTCTCTAAAACACCCTCGTAAGAATTCTAAATGACATGAAATATAGGGGAATGCTAGAGATAGGCTTTTTTTTTGAAATAAAGTAGAGAGATAGGCTTGAAAAAGAATAACTATACTACCTAGAGAAAAGAAACCACCATTCTAGTGATCCAGCCACCCACACACGTTACTAACAAACTCATTCTAGAGAGAACCTAATCTAGGGTCTCCCATAACAAACCATTTAAATAAATTATGAGTCAAAATAAATGATTATAACCCATAGCCTCCACGAGACTTCTCGTTGTGCCATCCTCCATATTAACACCTACAAGACCACTTGTCGTATGTCTGACATGAAGATCGAATATTTGCTCAAAAATTTTCATGAGTGAGCGTTATTTATCAAATTATCATCATTTCAAAGAAAATGGATGCTTTCACCTACAAATTGAAGGTGAGACATTTTACATACCATTTTGAAAGAAAAAGGATAGTGTGATATGTAAATTTAAGGGGAAAATCTCAACTCTCTCCTCCACCACATATGGACCTCTAGTGACACCTCTCTCAAACCCCTTAGTCAATATCACAACTCAGAACATCCACAACTAACGAATGAAGAGAAGTAGCCACCATATCTCATTTCCCTAGACTGTTTTAAACCAAGACTGACGCTTCATTAATGATCAGTGTAATTGACACCAATGTCAAACAACCTTCAATCCACTTTCTCCATCCAGAGCCAAAATCAGTTCTTCCCATCTCGCCAGCAAAACATCCCAGCTAATTCTATCATTATTTCTTCTCGAAATTCAATTTAAGGACCAACCTTCCTTATGTCCTCCACAACTTCATTAGATGTAAGAGAAGTGTCAACAATTTGCTGGCTCTCATAAAAGCACTTTGATTGGGAGACAAATCATACAATTTAACACCTCAGCAAATCTCAAGGATAGAACTTAGTAATGATCTTCTACACACTAGTTACGGAATTAATAGGGAGAGAAGTAGAAATATTTTTGGATATATCCTTTTTAGCCACCAAAGTAATGAAGTTGGAATTCATAAGTTACTATCTCACCATTAAAACAAAGTTCCTCCATATTCTTTAGATCACACTTCACGGAATCACAGAAGTCTGGAAAAATGCAATAGAGAAACCATTAAAATTAGGAATCTTGTTAGTGTTGATAGCCTGCAAAACCCTTTTAACTTATTTCTCAACAAAAGGGTATCCCTGGCCAAATTGCCCCAATCCTCATTGATTGGTCTCCATTTAATCCCTTCCAAAAGCATGTGAAAACTATCATTTTCATTATAGAGAGCTCTGTAGAATTTATTGGTCTCACTCTTAATGGAGTTAAGGTTGTGCTCTATGATACCACTCTAGGGTTTTAATTCTGAATGAAGGTTGTGCTCTATGACACCACTCTAGGGTTTTAATTCTGAATGAAGGTTGTGGTGCGACCCCGATTAATCTTGTTTTTTTTTTGAAATAAAAAGTATAAAAATATATGAATAAAGAGTACCAAAAGGATGCTACCCATGTATAAAAACATTTACATGGTAGTAATCATTTCAATGACATTTTAAAATCTTCAATCTTGTGCTGTGACCTAAAATCAATGATTCAAAAAGATGAAACTATCTATCTCTAATTTTTATCCACTCACTCTCTATACTATCAAAAGCCCTATTATTACGTTCTTTCCAAATTAACCAAAAGATAGTCAAAGGTATAAGCTTTACAAATTTTTTCTTTTTACATAATCCCTTCCAAGTCGACAATTCCTCTCTCACTAACCCAACAATAATCCAATTAATGCCAAGGAGATTGTGCACCATAGTCCACATTTCATAAGCAAACGGGCACCGAAGAAGGATATGGTTACATGCCCTAGAGCCTGTATCATCCTTGTTATAGAGAGCTCTATGGAACTTAGTGATCTCACTTTTGATGGAGGTAGAGCATGCCTGAATTTGCATCCCCTTCATTGGCCTACTTAATCCTAGATTTTTGTTTCCAACTAGCTCCCACCTTACAGGTAATATCCTCGACTCATTTCTTAGATAAGAAAGCCTAGTTCGTTAATAATCTAAAATAGAATTCTCAACTAGCAGCTTGTCAAGAATAGCAACTTCCCTTAACAACTCTTTCATCCTCACACCCACATGACCGCACCTTATTTCACTTGTTGGTTTTACCTTTCAAGGGTTGGAGTTTCTTTATGAATTTAAACCCCTCAACTTGCAACCTTAACTTTATCTTACCACACCGTCACTTTATTGACAAAATGAGGATGATGTAATCACAAATTCTCAAAACAAAAAGGGGTAGGGTCCTAATTCATATGCTCATTCTCAAGAATAACATAGGAATGGTTAGAATTAGAATAGGCGAGAATCTCTTGAACCAAGTATGGTAACTATCCTCCCAACAGTTGGAAACAAAGAAAGATAAAGGCCTGAAGAGATCACTCTACACACAGACTGACCAAATAATTGGGCATTAAATAATGGGAGATTTCTAAACTCAGAATCTTGAATGAATGAATTAACAACCTCATGGGGAATGGGCTTTTTGAACTCTCCAATTTTTCACAAGGAAATTTACAAGCATTAATGCATTGGATTGTATTACTATTAATTTTGGAGAAAAAAATATAATTTTATTTATCACATTTTAGGTTGTTACACGAGAATATTTATAGAATACCTATTCTACTAATAGAAAAATTCTTATTGTAGTAAACTTCTAATTATACTAAATTACCTAATTAAATAATAAAATAATTTAAATAATAAAATAAAAAAATATCCTATTCAACACCTCCCCTCAAGTTGGTGTAGGGATATTTTTCATACTCAACTTGCAGACCAAGTTGTAAAGTAGAATCAGATATGTTAGGCAGCAGTACGGCTCGGCTCAACTCAAAAACAGCTTGGGTTTGGCTCAAAATGGTTCAGGTTCGACTCATAAAATGGCTCGAAATCGACTCAAAACTACCTCAAAAATCGGCTAAAAAATGGCTCGAACTCAACTCAAAAAATGGTTTGAAGTCGGCTCCACTCAAGTCCCATCTCAGCTTAGGCAGATCTGTGCGAAGTGGAGCTCGCAGCCAGAAAAACGTCCTGTTGAGCGGCTCTGCGTGCGGCAAAGAAGAAGCTGGTTGCCCGGCACTCTGTGCGGCTTTGCGCGCGGAGGAAGAAGAACCAGATCGCGCAGCTCTTCGTGCGGCTCTGCGCACGGCGGAAGAAGAAGCTGGGTTGATCTTTCTTTCTCTTTTTTTTTTTCTTTTTTTTTTTTCGCGCCTCTCTGTGCGCAGCTGAAGAAGAATTGACCCAGGGTTAACATGTCTCTACGCGCGACTGAAGAAGAACTTACTTGAGGCGAACGCGGTTCTGCACACGGTTGAGGAAGATGGATTCTGAGGCTCTCTCTTCGCGCGGCTCTTCACGCAATGGAGGCTGACTGCTCTCTTTCTTCCTCTGCTCTGGCCTCTCTTCTTCTAATCTCCCTCTCTTCTGATCTGGGCTTATCTACTTAGCCTATTTTGCTATTTTAGAGTTTTGAATCTTACTTTGGATCTGATACCATATTAATTTTGGAAAAAAAAAAAAAATTTATTTCTTACCATTTAGGTTGTTATACTTGGGTATTTATAGAATACCTATTCTACTAATAGAGAAATTTCTAATCTAGTAAATTTTTAATTATATTAAATTACCTAATTAAATAATAAAATAATTTAAATAATAAAATAGAAAAATATCCTATCCAACAATTACACAACCTAAAAACATTAGAAAGTTCTTCCTAAAAGAAAGAATGAAGCAGAAAGAACAAAGTGCTGGAGAGTTAGAGCCATACATAGAAGTAAACTACCGTATCCCTTTGCCTCTAAAATTGATAAGAGCTAACAAAAAAAAGACTCCCCAAGAACATCAATATGAGAGGCAACCTTGGTGCCTTAGATGATTAACTTCCTAGCAGAGGCCCCAGAAGAAGTGTATAAAATGCAATCTGTGACTTGTGAGCTCTTGTTTCTGGGAACCCATTGTTGAATCTAGTTCTTAGAATTAACGGGTTGGTTGTTGGGATTATTAGCTGAACTTTGAGGCCTTAAAGGAAGCATGGGCTGCTGCTTATTAACATGGGCTTAATCTATGAGAAACTGACTTTTTTCTTTTATTGTTAAGTGGGCCCGATCCGTTTGAAACCTATACATCCAGAAAACTCCAGTTTCTGGAACTGTTACTGTGAGGATCTTTCCATGAGATCCCCACAGTCTGTAAGATATTTCGGTGTCCTTGAAAGCCTCAGTTCCCTTCATTTTGTTATTTTTGATTCTGTAAGATAAGTGAAAATTTAAACAAAGAGGAAAATCATCATTTGTTAAAATTTCCTCTGCTGCCTACTTCAACTCCACTTGCATCACCTACATCACTAGCTTCTGTCTCAATAGATGTTGTGATTTCAAACCCTTTGTCAATGATAATAACTGGCTGTCTCATGCTCCCATTGAGTTCTCAAGCAATCGCCGATTAGGAGATTTCAGCCATCTTCTGCCACCCTTGTCCTCTGCTGCCTTCCAGAATGATGATCTGTTAAGGTGTATCTAAGGGGTATGTAACTGAGAGGGAAGAAGATATGTTATGTATACAATAAATTATGGAAATAACTTCCAGAAATAGCTATTTTTCCATTGTAATAAATTATGAAGTACTGTTATGTATACAATAAATTATGGAAATAACTTCCAGAAATAGCTATTTTTCCATTGTAATAAAAACAGATTGCTGTCTCGTTTGCAGATTAGGCTTGAAGAGAATTTTTAGAAGTTTTTAGTATTTTCTTTACTTAAAAATTATAGGGTTCTCTCTTAACGAGCCCATAATTGAAGGTCAAAACAGGTAAAGGAAGAAAGATACAAATATATAAATATTCACTTAGTGATTTTCATGTTCATCGAACTATAACTCGATCATGAGTAGGTACTCGGTTAATTTAGTATTAGAGCCAGAAATTATGAGTGATTTACATTCCATGTTTGGATCATTTTTAATCTTCCAGCTGCATGGTTCCCTGTGAACAAGGAGAGGGAATTGTCATCAATGGTGATTCCAATTCTGATGGTTTATTGAAGTGCAAAAGAACTCCTATGAGCTAGACAACATACTCAGAGGACCTAAGTGACACAGGAGCTTTGTTGAAGTGCAAATTATGATGTTTAGGAAGCTAGATAATAATTCTGATGGTTCATTGAAGTTCAATCCTGATATTTTTATGAAGTGCAGAAGGTTTTTCTCCTTTTGTGTAAATATGCTATCTATGTAGAGAACTAGCTACATAGGTTTAGAATCTGTTGATGAACATTGGCTTCAAATCATAATGCGTGGAGAACCGAGATAACGTATTTATGCAAAAAAGAGAAAAA